AGATGCATGTTTATTCCTTGCACATTCATTTGTGCAAGGCTTCTGCCCCATCTGCGCATGTGAATCACCAACTTCCCAAAGCATGCACAAACAACGCAGTAGTTACAAGACACCTGTCAGTGTCGAGTTTCACAAGAACATATTTATGAAATTTTACTGTTCTTGAAACTATATATTTAGTAGCTTCAAGTTTGTGCATATATATCCTGATTGATATTAATGATACACATATGCACATATATAAGTAGGAGATCTCAAGGTGTTCTGTAGGTACGTATTGTTAAATCATGTTATAATGACAATGTGAGATTTCAAACAACACCTGTTGCTCGATCGGATGTAATTGATTGGATCTTTGCAAACATACACATTGTTTATCCTTTTACCACTGTGTATCAGCTCACTACATCTATCCTTTAATGTGTTTAACCACTTATGTACTTACAGGCTTATAACAGTAATTACCCTATTGTCACTGGGGTATCACCACACGACATCTACCCTTTAACCACTAGTGCTTATAATACAATATTTACACTTTTACCACTTAGGCATCAGAATACAACAAATGTTTTCTCTTAGTGGGAGTATTTAACTATCAACATATAAATATGTAAAGGATAGGGCATTGTTGCAAAATATGTACCTCCTTATACCACAAGGGCATCTCCATACAAATTTATATTCTCATAACCGTGGGCTTATACAAAAGTTGCATCATGTACCGCTGGGACATTACTTTACAATATTTACCTCCTTATACCACAAGGGCATCACTACACAAGATGTGTCACCTCACAACACTGGACTTATACAAGAGTTGCATCATGTACCGCTGGGACATTACTTTACAATATTTACCTCCTTATACCATAAGGACATCACTACACAAGATGTGTCACCTCACAACACTGGACTTATACAAGAGTTACATCATGTACCACTGGGGCATTACTTTACAATATTTACCTCCTTATACCACAAGGGCATCACTACACAAGATGTGTCACCTCACAACACTGGACTTATACAAGAGTTACATCATGTACCACTGGGGCATTACTTTACAATATTTACCTCCTTATACCACAAGGGCATCACTATACAAGATGCATCACCACACAACACTGGGTTTATACAAGAGTTGCACCATGTACCGCTGGGACATTACTTTACAATATTTACCTCCTTATCATGCTTATACCACAAGGGCATCACTACACAAGATGTGTCACCTCACAACACTGGACTTATACAAGAGTTACATCATGTACCACTGGGGCATTACTTTACAATATTTACCTCCTTATACCACAAGGGCATCACTATACAAGATGCATCACCACACAACACTGGGTTTATACAAAAGTTACATCATGTACCGCTGGGACATTACTTTACAACATTTACCTCCTTATACCACAAGGGCATCACTATGCAAGATGCATCACTGGGCTTATACAAGAGTTACATCATGTACCGCTGGGGCATTACTTTACAATATTTACCTCCTTATACCACAAGGGCATCACTATACAAGATGTATCACCACACAACATTGTGCTTATACAAGACTTACATCATGTACCGCTGGGGCATTACTTTACAAAATTTACCTCCTTATACCACAAGGGCATCACTATACAAGATGTATCACCACACAACACTGGGCTAAAACAAGAGTTACATCATGTACCACTGGGGTATTATTATACAAAAGTTCTCATAACACCACTTGGTCATTTTTCTACAATATTTACCCTCTTGTACACCTATTTTGTGTAAAAAGTAACAAAAAAGCTAGGTTGTGGCTGGCTGATGCTACCATTTCATTTCCACCTGCATTAAAACTGAATCCAACTCAAATCTAGTCAATGATTTAGCATGTCCATATTGGATCCAGAAATCAAGCAGTGTTCTGGGCTCCATTTGGATTTATTTTTTATTTTGTAGATATATAGCCTTAAATAAGAAAACTGCGACTGAATGTTAGTCTAATGCAGGCCTATAGCATGTTATAAAGCCGTAAAAAAAACTTGTCTCTTAACAATGTGATAACCCAGCCAATCAGAGATCATGCACATGTTTCGACTTCCACAAACAGCTAAACACTCCCACTATTAATTGACAGAACACTGGTCGCCTCATTATACTGCTTTATGAATGAATGTAGTGGCTCCCAAATAAGGAAGTTTACACTTCAAGTGACTGCCTAATTACCTGTTTATAGCCAATGGGTTGCCTATCAATGGTTATATAACATTATGTATGTACATCCACACTGCCATTAGCATGATTAACAAGCAGGTGATAACATAGAATATATCCTTCACAGTCTTGATTACACAGGGCCTCAGGATAGGTACGGCCCTTGATGGCAGATGTGACTCTGGATTAATTTCATCATTATTCACATGTCATGTCTTACTTTTTATCTATTACTGTAGACTTGGCAATAAATGTCACCACTTTATTAGAACAAATAATTTCATTTATTATTACTGATTATACTAACCAGATTCAATGAGTCATCATTTCTCATCAAGCCACCTTTACACAAATTCCACATTCAAATGATTCACTTTTTCCATATTTTTTTATTATAAAATACAGATATGACTAAAAGGAGTGGGTGAGTTGGGTTTAACACCGCTTTTAATATTATTCCAGTTATATCACAGCGTGTCAGCTTAATGTGGGAGAAAAGCCCCAAGTGATGCAGGTCTAAGACGTTTACCACTTCGGTGAAACCCACAAGCACGGGTATGGTGCTGACAAACCTAGAAACATAATTGGGGTGAACCGGGATTAGAACCCACAATCATAGGTTTCTGGCGTGCCCAAGGGACGTAACTCTGCACAGCAAATCGCAGCGCCTTAGACGACTGGGCCACCCGTGCCCCACACGACTAAAAGGAAATATCAACACTTTATACATAAGTTAATTGGCATGAGCAAGAAAGGTTTTAGACCACTTTTTGCAATATTCCTGCAAATTTACACCAGGAACAGGCTTCATGTATAATACCATTGTAGGGAATCGAACCCTTGCCTTTGGTGTGACGAGCAAACACAGCTACCCCTAGTCAGTCCGATTAAGACAGGGCTGTACCTATCTGTATTTTCATAAAATGACCATCTGTCAATAAGTCCCAGACAAGATGAGAGTCCCTTTAATTAATTTAACAAAATGGATGTTATTATTATTCCATTTTTTTCTGTGGATTTACACATTTACTAGTACAGACTTAAACTAATTGGAGCTATCACATTTCCGCCATGACAACCATCTATCAATTGTATGGGTGCTTTATGGAAAGATCACAATAAATGACACTGGTCTGTGACAGTTGTAGGAAAGTAGTCTTACCAGTCATAAACATGACACAAACATGTACATAAAGTAGACGTCATGACACAGTTTGGACAATTCAGACCACGTCTTTCACTATATGACCTACTTAACATCTTAGCCGACGGGAAAGATATTCTTGTCTACATACAGGATTATCCACTGACTCGGTAATAATCTGATCAGCAAACTGAGCAAACACTGGCTTCTTTTCTTTAATAGGCTAAGCAGGTTAAAAGCCAGTTTAAGTAAATATATATATTGTTGTTAACTCCTAGTGAATCTTAACTAACAGCACACTCATGATTTGAAAGTGTGACATTAAAATTAGAACTGCAGGGTCATTCAATGAATAAACATTTTTCATCAAACATTCTTTTCAATGGTTATTTTAAAAATAAATATGATTCATTTCTGACCTTTATATGACCTCTTTTTAATTAACTGCATGTGTTTTGTCAATTTCATTCACAATGACAAGGGACGTCATGAATCATATTTAATTTGACCTTTGAAAAGACAAGCTATGACATATATCCGATGTTGATGCACATGCCTGTATTATTTCAGATTGAGGGTCAGGAGGATGGGTTATAAAAGAAATAAAACTGAAAAAACACTCTTCAAGTAAAAATATTCCCAATCAAGTGGTGATGCATACAAAGTAATATGTGAATTCTTTTACCAATTTCATTAATATTAAAACATTGAAAGTGACATCACTGCTAAATACTTATCTGATTAAAATAGAAATAGATCCTGCTTTTCACACCTATCTACAATAGGCTAATCATATTGATCACATCTATTTCAAGTCAACTCACAAATTGCCTTTTATGGTAGCATAATTTAATTATTGTAATGTATTTCGCAATACCATCACAGTAGCAGACGTGCAATTTGTATCACATCCAAGTACCACTCAATTACGAAACACTGAAATTTGTAAACATTTGACAACATCACAAGCTATTCTGGTTAAAAGAATCCATAAGTAAAGAAATAGAGGGACAATCATTCATATTACAATTGTTCTACATTGTGCGACTATTGTTGAACAATATCGACATGTACTGCATGTCAGTGGAGAAGCCATGTTATAACCTATATATAACCTGGGGTAAATTCTGTACTACACTGGGTGCCATATTGTATTGACTGCACGTGTATCTTGTGATTATTACGTGTGTGTATTGCAACGTAAATTTCACTTCCGGCCTTCTGAGAACGTCCCTCGCGCCCCTCAAAAGACCTGGGCAGTTCTGTCAATGCGGTGAAATGGTGTATATACACTGACAGTCTAGATTTAACAATAAATTCCACACAAATCATAATACACCCCGCCAACTTTAAGTTGCCTCCTCCATTACACCGCCACATTCCCGCACACAAGCCAAATTTCTTTTCCGACAGCAACAAATGTTTTCAATCAACAATGTGCATAATTTTTGAATGGGGGCCAAAGGGTGTGTCTTGGTGACATGCGACCACACGCCTTTAAACTGACGGCAACAGTGTAGTACCTTGTGCCTTCATGATTGTTTCAACGTGTACATAAAAGGCCCTCTATGCGGGGCCCTATGGCTTAATTAACTCGAAATATCTAGGCAGGAGTGCGCCGAATATACGCATGTGCGAGTGACTATACCTTGTCTAAGCATTTCAGCTCCTCGGTTGGATACACCGTCTTGGAGCACTTTCCACACTTCTTGCTCATCTTGGTATTTTATCCTGCGATATCCACAATTCGAATTGAGGTATTCCCACCCCGCTAACGAAAAGTCGGCTTGAAGCTTCAAGATCTGCGGTAAACAACTCCAATGATTTCGTCAAGTGCACGGTAGAACTGGCGGTCGACACCGTAGGAAGCGGGTCGTGTGCAAACCGTGGGCTACTACCGTACCGGCCCTATTAAATTTCACCATTGCGTGTCAAATATGGCAAGGGGCGCTCTCAAACTCCGAGAGGGTTTCGCTGGCGCTGCTCACACTGCTCACATACCTTTAATTACTAGTAATTACTCTGACTCTAAACTAGGTTTTAGTGGTAATAATTAAAATATGTCTATTTTTTATCATTATTATTTGCAGACATTCTGCACTTCATGACAACTCATCTTTCTTGTCCCCTTTAATGACTTTTAAATAACAAAACTATTTATTCATAACCTGAACTACTTGATATCGTCAGTCGAAGCGAACTGTTTATGTTACCCTTGACTTAAGCCACGTAACGTGGACGGTTATAGTTTACTGAGACATATAAGTATATACGTGTGTTTTACCCAGTAGTTGTGTGGTACTTTATGGATAAAATGTATGCATTTTATAAGTTATTATTAATAATTTTTGCTGTTAATTGTCATTGAAAGCTTTGTTAAGTATAGTTTAGTATAAAACCAACATTTATTAACCGAGCGCGTAATGCTAACAATACCTGTCTGCACACGTTCAGGCGACGTCTCGCGCCTCCAGCACTGGTGACACGCTCCGTCAATACCCACACAACAATTACATATAGACATCTATGGTGGAAGATATCAGGATTTCACTCCGAGATGAAACAACAAATAGAGTTTTATTGTATATATAAAAAAAAAAAATTAATACAAACTAATTTTACCCAAACCCAACCACCTAACCCTCACACGCACCAAAAAAAACAACAACAACAAAAAACACCAGGGAAGACTCCTATTTTTATTGTACATGCATAAACATATATATTTCTTGTAGTAAGGGGCGGTCGGTGGTTAAAGCGCGTACGTTCGGTTGTCAGGCCGAACTCCCTGGTTCGAATTCCAACATGGGAACAATGTGTGAATCCCATTTTTGGTGTGCCAGGCCATGATATTGCTGGAAAATTGCTAAAAGCTGCGTAACACCGCACTCACTCACTCCACAAATATGACTTTCTTTCTGGCGCGGTAAAATCTCGTTAAGTCGAAGGTAATCAAATTAACTTATAGTTGAATATTATAAGGCACGTGTTCGTAATAACGGCACTCCGCTTCAGCAATCCATGCTTGTCATAAGTGGCGACTAACGAGGTCGGGTGGTCAGGCTCTCCGACTTGGTTGATCCATGTCATCGTGTCTCAATTTCGCAGATCGTTGCTCATGATATCAATCACTGGATTATCTGCTCCAGACTCGATTGTTTACAGACCGCCGTCATGTCGCTGTAATATTGCAAACATAACATACAACTGATAAAGAAACTGTACGAGATAAAGAGTGACACACTGAGCGACAACCTTATCTTGCAACAAGAAGACACATAATTAATACCCGTGAGGTTCCGGGGTAGAATAGGTCTTCAGCAACCCATGCTTGCCGTTAAAAACGACTATGCTTGTCGTTCGAGGCAACTAACGGGATCGGGTGGTCAGGCTCGCTGATTTGGTTCGATGGATCGATGCTCATGATATCAATCCCTGGATTGTCTGGTCCAGACTTGATTATTATAGACCGCCGTCATATAGCTGGAATATTGCTGAGTGCGGCGTTAAACAACAAACAAACAAACAAACAAACACAGGATAAAATGTTTCCTTTACGAAAAGTTGGAAACTGGGATGATTCAAATCACCATATGCATTTTAAATCTAAAGATATCACTGGGGATTCCGGGTAAGAATCTAGAGGCCCAGGATGGTCAGGCTCGGTGACTTGGTTGATATAATGTCATCGCATATTCATTGTGTGGATCGATGCTCATGATGTCAATCACTGGATTGTCTGGTCCAGACTCGATTATTTACAGACTGCCGTCATGTAGCTGGACTATGGCTGAGTGTTGCCAAACAACAAGCAAACAAATTTGAATACCTGTGCAGTAAAAATGACCCTTTCTTGTGCAATTCTTGCAAATATACAATAACTGTACATGTGCCATATGCATGTTAAAACATGTATATGAGCGTTCATGCAGCTTGTAGTATTCAGTTAGTGTGGTGATGACTTGTTTTTGCCATTGTGCACGCAAAGAATATCAGTGTCATGCATATGCAACATTATTAGCATGCATACAGCGTTGGCTTCGCGTACAGTTGTCTCTCCCACATGCAACTTTATTCCTCTCGCCATGCAATTGAAAGAGCATACATGAGGCAAGAATTGATCCATCCAAATATACATACTTCAGATTACAGAAGCATTTTCATGTATAAGTTGGATTAGGTGAAACTTAAAGCAGATTTGAACATTATTTTAGGAAAAATGAATACGTGTATGGTATACCAATTATCATAACATGGATCGAATCGTGATTCAAACACATACAAGTTTGACCACCGATGTCCCCCATGCAGTCTATACATTTGTGTCGCTATATGGCTGAAATAATGCCGATGCGACGTTAAGTTTTAACTCACTCACTCACTATATATTTGTAATATTTGTTTGTTTGTTTGTTGTTTAACGCTGCACTCAGCAATATTCCAGCTATATGAGGGGCGGTCGGGTAGCCTAGGGGTTAAAGCGTTAGCTCGTCACGCCGAAGACCCGGGTTCGATTCCCGACATTGGTACAATGTGTGAAGCCCATTTCTGGTGTCCCCCGCCGTGATATTGCTGGGATATTGCTAAAAGCGGCATAAAACCTCACTCACTCACTCACTCACTCACTCCAGCTATATTACGGCGGTCTGTAAATAATCGAGTCTGGACCAGACAATCGAGTGACTGACATCATGAGCATCGATCCACGCAATTTGGATACGATGACATGCATCAACCAAGTCAGTGAGCCTGACCATCCGATCTCGTTAGTCGCCTCGTACAACAAGCACAGTTGCCATTTAAAGCAAGCACGGGTTGCTGAACACCTATTCTACCCCGGATCTTCACGGGTCACATTTGTAATAACGTGTATTTTTTGTCTATACTTCAAACAGATATATACGCTTAGATTCAATGTATATATAACATATTGAGGGTCGTGTATACAACGGTCCTCTTGCGATCAATCACTGGTTTGTCTGGTCCAGGCTCGACTATGTACATGCCGCGGCCATACAGCTGGAATATTGCTGAGTAGGGCGTTTAACAACAAACAAACATTATCATCAAATAATATACAATCTTAATCTCAAGCAAATACAACACACCGTTGAATAATCCTCAGCAGTTATGATTAAAAGAAAGGTATACAATACAGCAACTAGGTATGTTTATAAACCGCCGTCATATAACTTGAATATTGCGGAGTTTAACAACAAACAAACAAAGACTTCGTGAGTTGGTTGCCATGGTTTCAAATTCTGAATTGTTCTGTATAATGTGGTCCGAAAAGCGTGTATGTAATTTAATGTTCTTCCTCAGTATTACTTTATTGCATTGTTGCATGTTTCTGTTTAAAATTACGTCCCTCAATTAGATTTGTCGATTATGTTTGTCCTTTTTCATGGGGTAATTTCCCTTCATTATTTAGATTTATCATTGGGGGCACGGTCGGCCCAGTCGTCTAAGGCGCCGCGATTCGCTGTGCAGAGTTGCGTCCCCTGGACACGCCAGAAACCTATTATTGTGGGTGCGAATCCCGGTTCACCACGATTATGTTTCTAGGTTTGTCAGCACTATACCGATATATATACCCGTGCTCGTGGGTTTCACCGAAATGGTAAACGTCTGAGACCTGCATCACTTCGGGCTTTCCTCTCACATTAAGCTGACACGCCTTGATATAACTGGAATAATGTTAAAAGCGGCGTTAAAACCCAACTCACTCACTCACTCACTCATTAGATTCATCATTAAGAGACAGGCAGCACGAAAAGCATGGTGCCCAACTACTCCTAGACTTGCACAAGTTTATGACGTAATGATTATAAGTTTAAATAATAATTTATAGATTATTTAAAAATTAAAAACAAGAGACTGGTGTCCTTGTATTGTCCATATGTCTAGACTTGCCTTTTAGGAGGACAGACTTACAACACATCCATGGACTTATCTTTCAGTGAAGTCTTGGAGCAAGGCTAAACTACTGCATGATCTAGTGTTTGTTTTGTCGCCATACATGAGCGCTGATACATGAATAGGTGAGTGAGTGAGTATGGTTTTACGCCGCCTTTAGCAATATTGTATCACGGCGGGGGACACCAGAAATGGGCTTCGCACATTGTACCCATTTGGGGAATGGAGCCCGGGTCTTCGGCGTGACGAGCGAACGCTTTAACCACTAGGCTATCCCACCGCTCCTATGAATAGTTGCAGGTTTGGAGGAAGATCTATATCCAGTCGGTTATACTTTATTCTCATTTGCATATGTAAATCTACAGAGTAAAATGCAATGAAGTTTATGCTCTGATGATTACAAAAGACTGAAGAGACGGAATACGTCTACTGTGTCTGTGACCGCCTCCGTGGTCTGGAGGAAGAGCGTCCGCCCGGAGAGCGGAAGGTCCGGGGTTCAATCCCCGGCCGCGATATACCAAAGGACGTTAAAAGATGGTACTTGTTGTTACCCTGTCTGGCGATAGGCATTAAGGGGCTAAAACAAGGACTTGGCAGCTCGGAGTTAGTATGCTGTGTCTGAGTAGGAAATTCGTGTTAAATTGTGGCATCGTATCTCAGTGTGCTAGCACTATAAATCGGCATCAGTCCGGACGAGCACAAGCAGCCACACACACACACACACGTGCATGCACGTCGCTATATAAGTGCAATAATCTTGGACGTGACGTTAAACCCAATTTCACCTCACCTCACCGAAGGTGTCTGCTTCCGCTTGCTGTGGTATCCAGTGGTTTCATTCTGCGAAGCAAACACTGGTTTGCCTATTGGAATTGAGAGACAATTTTAACGCTGCTTTGAACAGCATTTCCGTTGCGTCACGGCGTAGGAGGAAAACTCACAATGAAGCAGATCTCAATCTCATTAAAA